ACTCCCCTCCAGTAATCCCAGTGCCTGCTGCCATTTGGTCTGTTGCAGGAGGATGGAATCCGACAAGTTCTGGAGGAGATGAAAGCTTTATATGAACAGAACCAGGCTGACGTGTAAGTGCTGGTTGGAGCAGGACAGCTAACGAGCTGCCTACACAAGGGAAAAGGGAAAGCAAGCCGCCTCGTTAGAAATGACAAAGACAGGGATGTTTCTCTTTGTTCATGTGCGTTGAGGGGCCATGAAGATTTCAGAGGGGTAGCTGTGTTAGTTTTTCATCTGAAGAAGTGGGCTGTGCCCATGAAAGCTCATGATACCATCTACGTTTTCCATTAGTCTCTAAGGTGCTGCAGGACTATGCACTGTTCAAGTTGTTGTCTTCTTTCTGATGATTAAAGAAAAAAAATCTAAGTCTGAAATACTAAGGATGTGATTGATGTCTGTCTTGTTTTGATGAAGGGCTTCAGTGGAAGATCTGGAATTGTGGATTAGAAACTCAGCCTTTAGTTGAAGGGATCAAATGCTGTATCTTTAACAAGAGCTTTTCATCCAGTAGTTTATCAAGTAGTTGAATTAAAGAGGGGATGTAAAAATTCATTCAAAAAGGTAACTGTGTAACCGCTTAAAATCCTAGCCGTTACACACATTGCAGGCTCTGCAGTAGAAAGCCGAAATAAGCTTTACGCTGCAGAGCTCCGCTGGCCCCACTCCTGGCAAGGTTTGCTGGGGGCTCGGCAGCCCTCTCCCTGGGTGTGGAGACAGCCCCTGCCGGCCCTGCTCCTTGAAAGCCTGCAGTGGGGGCCTAGGTTGGGTTAATCTTTCACATCCCTAGACTTAAATGTACACACAAACTTCTAAAGAGTTTGAACTGGTCTGAATAAAAAACACTCCTAGTAAGATTTCACTTACTGTGTATCTGTGACATGAAATTGTTTGTCCATAGATGATTCACTCAGCTGTGCAAATCCACTTACTGAGCTAAGTGGACATGGCCAAATAAAGGAGAGGTGTTGTTAAATGCCAGGTTTTTTACAACATTGAAGAAAATCAGAGTTCCATTTGTATTTTAGGGGAGAGTCTTAAATACAGCTAGGCGTGTGAGTGGAGTAAGCAGGGTGGAGCTGCAATTAGACAAGTCTTAAATACAGCTAGGCATGTGAGTGGAGTAAGCAGGGTGGAGCTGCAATTAGATGACTTTGTTCTCATTTTTGTTTTGTATTTTCAAAGAACAAAATCTCCCAGTGTCAGCAAAAACTAGTTCCAAGGTGCATAAAACAGAGAGCAAACTAGCTAATGTGGCCAAGAGATTATATACCTAGCTGATTTATGTAGCTGCCAGTGGAATAAAAACAAGATTTTGCTGAAGAGGCTGCTAAAACCCAGAGATTCTAAACTAAACTGTACCTGAGCTTTGTACCAATGTGTGCTTTAAGAAAATAGGAAGTCTGTATGCTTGAGAGTTTCTTGGCCTCAGTGTCCCATAATGCCGTTTCCCTTTTGCATTATTGCCAGAAATGAAGCTAAAGCAGGACAAAGTAACTTGATCCCAACAATCAAATTTCGTCACTGTTCTCTGCTGCGAAATCGACGATGCATTATTGCATACCTGTGAGTTTCTTATGGAAAGGCATATCATGCTTTCACAGTATGGTCTCTTTCATGGCCTAAAATCTGCATTTTCAGGAGCTTCCTCTGGTTTTACATACAAATCTTGAGACAGTGTGGTCCTACTTTTCAAAGGCTGCTGAACACTTGCTGGTCCCAGAGATTTCGGGGGAGGGGGTGTTTTTCAAAAGCTAGATACAAATCAGAGGCCATCCTTGAAAATTCTGGCCTTGATTCTTTTTCCAATGCTTGACTATTAAGTTCAATATGAAACATTGTTTCATCTTGATTGTAATACCAACCCATCAGTAGTATCTGAGCACGTTTCAAATGTATTAGTGAACACAGGAAGGTCTCTGCAGCGTTTTCCTGCTTTCTGTAGGGACCTTGTTCTCATTTAAACATACAATATTGGCAGGCCAATGGAGGGAAGACTGGAATCACTGGATTTTACACTTCATTCTGAAGGTGTCAGATTTGGTGCATATAAGGGATTGAGTCCATACTCCTTTTTGAATTAAAACCTCTGTTTCCAATTGATAACTCAGTGGTTCTAATCCCTGGTTAATTTTTCCAGGTATGACCGGTTGCTCCGGATCAGAGCCCTCAGGTGGGAGTATGGGAGCGTCTTGCCCAATGATCTGCGATTTCACATGTCGGCTGAAGAAGTAAGCTCGGCTTCATTATAAGCCCGACTTGTTTCAGTGATCTGGGGAGAACAGAAGTTTTGCGGTAGCCATAAGGTGGTTGTGGAAAGTATTTGTCTCTGCTAAAGTTTGAAGTGGCCCTGTCCACGTGCGCACACATTCATGATACTGCTTTAACGAGCAGGGAGATACCTCAGAGGCTCTGGCCCTCTTACTCCAGTTCTCCGTAGGTGAGAAATGGAAGGTCTGACGTGGGTCAGGAATTAACTGGATCCGATGGACCAAAGGTTGGATCTTCGTATTGGCTGAGTTAATGCGTGTCGGAAGGAGAAGAGTATTTTGCCCACAGGCATTGGCTGTTTTGGGCCACAGAGGCACAGCTGCTCATGGCTTGTAGGGGCCAGTTCACAGGTCGTGAGCTGAATGGCCAATGTTTGCACGGGGGAACATGCTGAAGTTGTGGCCTGAAGGAGGCTGTTCACTGGGGGTGTCTGCATCCTGTCTTGTTAGGATGCAGACACATTTGAGACTGGTTTAAAACTCGCCGACTAGAAGAAAGAGACGTGGCCTTAGAATAAACCTGGCCCGGAATGGGCTGTGTTCCACCTCACATGCGTTCAGGGAGCTTGATGGCTGCTGTAGCTTTGTCTTAGTCCGGTTCTGCCAGCACTTTGCCTTTGTGTGCAAAGATCTTCTTGCACTTTCCAGGGGGAGGCGTTGCACTGACCCCCTCTCCCCTCCGTCCTTCCCCCTTTTGAGAGGGGAGATAGAATCTGTACTCAGAGGGGAAGGCGGATCTCAGGCCATGTCTGTGCGTGGCTCCCTGGCGGGGTGGGGAGCGTGGGCACTTGTGCAATACAAATACTATGGACTTGCTCCTGTCTTCTCCCCAACATTGCCGGCATTTTACAGCAGCTACAAGCATTCGTGCTTGCGTTCTTGAGCCAGTGTCCCTGTGGGAGTGCTGGTTTCGTCTTGTGTTCTTGTCTCTGCAGATGGAGTGGTTCAATCAGTATAAAAAGTCTCTTGCTACCTACATGAGGTCGTTGGGAGGAGAGGAAGGGCTGGACCTTACGCAGGACATGAAGCCTCCCAAAAGCTTGTACATTGAAGTAAGTGCTAAGCTGCGGGTTCTGTGCGTGCGTGTGTGTGCGTATGTGCACGCGCCTGAGAAGTGCACAGCTGGGACTGGCAGCACAGGAGGCATGACCCACACTCCGCTCCGCACGCAGCACCTGACATGGGGAGCTCGTGCAGCGCAGGGCTGGAAGATGTGCAGGTGGTGGCTGAGGGCCAGGAGGCTCTGCTCTTCCTTTCCTCTCCACCCCCGCCCGCTGGTTTGAAAACCCCTGCTCTGGGACTCCTGCTCAGCCCCATTCGTTCCATTCACACGAGCTACGTGGTGCGAGGCCCAACCGGGAACTTCCACACAGAGCTGGAGGTGGCTGGGTTTGCACTGGGGGCTGGCGGGAGTGTCTGCTCAGGCGCCAGCGACTCGCGTGCACACGTCGCACTCGGGCTGGTGCACCTGGAGACTGACGGACGCCTCGCTCCTCTCTCCAGGTGCGGTGTCTAAAGGACCATGGCGAATTTGAGATTGAGGATGGCACAACTGTCCTGTTGAAGAAGAACAGCCAGGTACCAGTGGCAGGAGGGCGGGACTCTTAGTGAACCTTAGCCCGGGTAGGGACTGGCTGAGGAAAGCGGCTCTTCCGCCCCAGCAGGGCTTGGTTCTGTGGAACCCTTCGCGTGAGGCTGCTCCCTAAGGAGGCTGGAGGGGTAACTCCCTGCTGAAGGTCCAGTGCATGGTGATGCGCCCCGCGTGGCCCAGCTGTCGGGATGGCAGCAGAGCGGTAACAGTTCCCAGCAGCTGAGGATCAGCCCCGTGTGTCTGCACAGTGGGCAGGGAAGGGAGGAGCTTTGGTCCTTGCTTCCCTGACAAGGGCCAGTGTCCACCTGGGCGTGAGCGCTGCAGCCTAGTGCCTGTTCACACCGAGCCTGGAGCGGTTCCTCCTTGCGCTGCCTCATGGCTCCGCAGCCAGGCAGATCGTGCTCTGCTGCTCGCCCCAGCCGTTGCATGCAGCCTGGTGCGTCTAGTCACCGAAAGCAGAACTGGGCTCTGCCCCGTGGCACCCGCCTGGAACTCAGGAAAGGGGCTTGTTTTTCAGCATTTCTTACCACGCTGGAAGTGCGAGCAGCTGATCCGACAAGGCGTCCTGGAGCACGTCCTGTCGTGAACACAGGGCTGGCGCTGTGGCCACCTCCATCGACCCACCTTCCGTGCGCAACTGGCACCAGGAAACCCAGCCGCCTGGAACGGTGGCCTTAGCAATGGCAAATACAGCTGTTCGGTGCCATGTGTCCCCACGTTGTCATGGGCGGCCGGTTTGAGAACTGTCCCTCGGGACAGGCAGGCGGTGGGGAGAAGCATTTTTAAAGCAATGCCAGTTTCAAGGAGGCTGAAGTAGTTTCTGGGGCATTGCCCCATGTAGCCCCCTCTTGCAACTCTGCTTTTCCATGTGGGGAATGGGATTGACAGGGGCTGATGCACTCTGGGCCCTTGGACGCACAGAGGCAGCTGCGAGACACTTTTCTTAATTTTCCAAAAACAGCTCTGGTGTCCTGACCCCTCTCGCTGCTGGGGAGAGCACCCAGAGGCTGCCCATGACTGCTTCCAAGCCCCAGACCCTAACATCAGCCCCCTTAGGTGGGCCCAGGCCAAAATGGGCTGTGGTAAAGGGATAGCCCTAGCATAGTGACCTCTGAACCAGCGAGTCAGCAGAGGGTTGTGGAAAACAAACACCCAACGCTGCAAGGAAAGGGGCCACCTGCCTGGAACGTGGCAGGAGGAGCGGAGGTGGCCCTGGAAGCTGGCCGGGGGCCCGAGGCTGGCGTGGGAGCACTTCTCTGACCAGGTCTCTCGGAGCCAGTGTAGTTCTGGTACGGAGCCCTCCTGGCCCACCAGTGCCACCTGCTGGGTGACCATGAGATCTGGTGCTAGTGACCTAGAGCCTAGCCTGGGGGGGTTAAGCCTGTGTAGCCCCTCCCTGCTCATGGGGCCCTGGCCTTGCAGCATGAGGGAGGGGAGGAGCTGAGCCCCGCTTCACAGGACAGGCAAGGCAGAGAACGGGACCGTGCTCTCCTGGCCCCTGTTGGAGCTGGACCGGCCCTGCACTCCTCGTCCAAGGGAGGGTCTGTGTCCTAGAATCCAGGGGAGGCCAGGCAGGATAAAGCCAACCCAGAGACCACTGGTAAAAATGCAATTTTAATATTAAAACCATTTTGCAGCCCCGACCCGTACAGCAGGGTCCCTGAGTGAGAGCCAGGGCTCTGGGGGAAGGGCTGAGCACCTACCAAGCTGCCCGTGTATATGCCAGCACAGCGGGTGCCTTGCAATGACCATCAGGGCCAGCCTGCCCGCCCCAAGGCAGCCCCTGGCTTGCTACCCTTCAGCCACTCTCATCTCCCCCATCCCTGAGAGAACTCAGCAGGCTGGTCCCAGCTCCCCCGCCCTGTGTAGGAGGGGGCCAGGACCCCTGAGCGTCCTTGCCCTGGAGCCAAGCGCAGGGCGGGGCCCACTCACACGCTGAGAGAGGCCTGCACCAGTCTGCGGAGAAGGTGGTTGAGGGCTGAGAGTTTGTCCTCCAGGGCCCAGTTCTTGTTCTCAGCCGTTTTGTGCCTCTGCTCAGCAGCCTGCAGCGCTTGGAGCAGCCGGGCGTTCTCCACGTACAGGTCTTTCAGGAGCCGGTCGCCCACCACGCTTCTGGCCCGCTGCACAGGGAGGAAGCAGCACTAGGTCAGCCTGGTTCTGGCTAGCAGGCCGTGCTGCTGGCTGCAAAGGGAACACTGTCCTATTTTCCTAAGGGTGCTACGGTAATGACTGGCTGTTTGCACAGCTCCCTACAGACAGGAACCACGGAGCCCTTCACAACAGGAGGGAGCAGCTCAGCCCCCCTTGGCCCTTCCCAGCCCTGCAGTGGCTGGCAAAGGCCTCTCTCTCTCACCTGCTCCTGCAGCTGG